TTGACTGTACAGCATCTTGGAGGAAAAAAACCCCACCAACCTGCAATTTCATTACCAAAAAAACCAGGAAGAAAATTGTTTTCCACTATGGCTCCATGCCTGTTCTCTACCTCCCGAATTCAGTACCAAAGAATATATATATATACTGATAAAAACCTGCTATTTTCACTCAGTCTGTAGGAGAGGAGGATGATGAACATGCTAGAAACAAAACCAGGGGAAATTGAAAGCACTTTGACAGCTCCTTGTTCAGAGTCATTAAGCACAAAACAATCACAGAATCTTGGAAAAGACCTTTAGGATCACCAAGTGTAACCATTAACTCAGCACTGCCAAGTTCACTGCACAAGAACCAAAAACCACGTCCCCGTGTGCCACATGTTCACATCTTTTAAATATCTCCAGGGATGGTACATAAAATGCTTTTTCCCCTTATCCTGTCACTTGTTATTTAGAAGAAGATACTGACTCCCACCTGGCTACAACCTCCTTTCAGACAGCCCTAGAGAGCAATAAGGTCTCCCCCAGAGCCTCCTTTTCTCCAGTCTAAACAACTCCAGCTCCCTCAGCTGCTCCTCATGAGACTTGTGCTCCAGACCCTTCACCACCTCCATTGCCCTTCTCTAGAAATGCTCCAGCACCTCAATGTCTGTCTTGTAGAAAACATACCAGGTGGACACAAGCTTGTAAGTTTGCAGAAAGTATTTTCAGATGGGATGATTGAGCTTTGTGCCAGTTTTCTATAAGTTGATATGCCCCGAGGTATGCAAAACATCAGTGAAGAAAATCAAGCCTTTGCCAAAACCTAATACTGTAATTTTCATGCAGATACATTAACCTGTATTTCCCAGTCTTGCATAACATTAATAAATAAGACTATGTTAGTTTTCTATTGCCCCCTACAATCATTTTAAAATAAAGGACAAAACTCCCACCATCCAAAATTTTAGTAAAATAAAATTCACATTCAGCTAAGCACCCTTCTATCCTGTTATTTAAATCACTCCAAATCACCGCTGGTACACTTTAAATGCTGTGTGCTGAGAGCAGGAAAGCTTTTACAGTTCAGAATGGCAAGACAGACTTCATAAAAGATTAATATACTTAAAAAGCAGGTCATTTATTAAAGATCTTTTAAAAGCTTCCTTTCTTAAAAAGCAAAACTATCTGCCCACCTCCGCATCTCATCTGAAAGCATTTGCATACACAGCTGTTCTCCAAATTTCAACCCTGTTCCTTTTTTCATCTTCATGTTTTAAGACACGAATAGCAGGCACTTTGTGAAAGAGTAGCATGCTTCAGCAAGTGTCTTCTGCTTCCACACAGATTTATCCTGTCTCCCAGACACTCAGATACCCTTCTCTCACACACACAGGATTGAAGTCTCAGACCTTTAGCCCCAGGACTGCACGAGACGGCAGTTTGGGGACTTTAGATTCCAAACCTTCTCTTACCACAGCTGAAAGTTTTCCATAACTGCCAGGGTAAGGACAGGCTTTCTCTCTCCTGATCTTCCACTGTCCTTTTGTTTTACAAATCCTTTTAGGCAGTGGTACCTGGGAACTGCACATGCAGCACAAGTGGTCTGGACGCCAAAGGTGCAAGACACCCTTTTACCAAACAGCAGGAGGCAAAACAATAAGTATTTATTGGATAATGGGCCCATAGCATTCCAGCTCACTGGAAATTGTTCCACCTTTGCACACTGCTGTCCTCAAGACAGCATTTTATTTGGAGACAAAGAAATAGCAGGAGTATGCATTGAGTGAGACATGACAGAGAAAAAAACCCACAGACAATTTTGGACCAAGTTGATACTTCTGAGATGTCTGACATTCTGTTCTTCACAAGTGTTTTCAATCACTACATCTTCCTGAAGAAGCACCTCTCACTGTCTCATCTTGCCTGCAAATAATATGACACCTCAGAAAATTAAAAATAATCCATTAAAAAGATTACTATCTTTTCAGGACATGGCAGCTCAACTGTAGCCACAGAGTTATCCTCGTGGGAAACAGGCTGTCATGAACACAGTGGTAATAAAGGACAGAACAACTTGAGGGAAAGCTGCTTTGAAAGGAGGTTAAGCGAGGAGAATATGATGACCTTGGTTGTAAGTTTCAAAGGAGAGATGATGTAAAAGTCAGACACCACAAGCAAAGGAAGTCACAGAAAAGAAAAATGCTGGGAAAACTCAGAGTGAGACACCAAGAAGGTGGAGACAACTTGCTGTGCCCAAAGCAAGAAACAATAGCACAGATACCAGCACTCTTGTCATAAGATAGTAATGAAAATTACTATAAATTTAGGAGAATGACATTCAATAGACTACTTTTTTAATCTATAAATGATTGTTTTTCATTATTTTTTTTTAAAGTCACTGCTTATTATTAATCAGTTTTGATGGGCAGCCACAATCAAGTTCCTCAGTAATCAAATACAGAATATCCTTGAAGGCTGTTCATACCTATCAGGGCAAGACAGGTGGTGTACTGTGTCTCCACTTTAGATTGCACTGCAGCCCAAGGGACATCAACTGAATATTTAACAAAATTGTAATGACTGTAACTCGGCTATTGATCACCATTTGGGCTTTCAGGGAGAAAAATAAAAGGCATCTATGGGTTAATACTTCTGACTGAAATGTGCTTATTTAGATGTTCACTTAACAGATGTCATCATCAGGAGATAAAAGTCCTTACACTGAAAAGACAATTTTAATAGCCTTTCCCATTAAGCTATGGATGACATATTTCAAAGGGCAGATTATTGGAGTCTTTCTGCTGACAGCAAGGAATGTCAATTGAATTCAGAATATCAGTGAATTTTTAAGCCTTGGTAACAAAGATTTTAGTATAGAGCTATCTTATAATTCAGGACAAAACGCCTTGAGCGATTTATTCTTCTGTACAGCACATTTTTAACCACATTTATATTCATTGCCACAATAGGCAATGGACCCTTACTGTTCATGGGAACAAAACTCCAGATGCTCTTATATTCTAAGCTTAATGTGTTCAGTTACTGGTGTAGCAGCATTAATCACAAAGAACAAGAGTTTTATGGCCTCAGAAAAATGGAACCTCCCAGGTTTGTTAGACTACTCTACTCTGCTCAATAAAATGTTTCCTATAAACAAATGAGCTCTGAAGATAATGTACTAAACATTATCACCCCATAATCAATAGGTATCAGGAAGACTGTTTTTAAGGTTTAGTTGGCTTCCCGTTCTCCTCCAGACTGCAATTATTCAGCTCTGTACTGCAGAGCTCCATTAAGCACTTTGTTTTTCATTGAATGACTAGAATCAAGTGCGTATGGCCTCCACGGATGGATAAACTGCTGTAAAAAGAGATAAGTCAGCAATACTGATTGGCTCTGTTGTCTGAGCATGCCTTTTGATTTTTGAATTACTGCCAAAAGCATCATCATTCTGTGTTTACCCTTCAAAAGCCCTCGGTCACTCAGATGGTGCATATACTCACAGCACAGAGCTCTCCTTTGCAGAAACAGTATTCATAAAAAAAGGACAATTTCAGTACTTGTATTTGTTGAGTGCAAATTTGTGGCACAGATCCTCTATCTCTCATCTTTTGTGACATTGCTACTATATAATATGAAGTGATTAAAAGACCAGTTTTACTGTGATGCTGACCTCTTTCACTCAGATAAATGGTTTACCTCTATGCAAAGCTGTAGGTAGCTTTCAAAGTGTAATGGATCATATTGTTTTCCTCTTCCCTTCCTTCTCTGGCAAGTCAAAGAAACAGAAACCCCCACAAACCTCTGTGGCGGTTTGTTTTGTCTGTGTGTATGAGTTCATACCAATCACTGAAGGCACACTGCATTTTTCTTCACTGCTGTGGCTAGGGCCGTCAGTGCCAGGCTCAGTACTGGCTTTCACAGGTCATCACGGGCTTGCATTTCCCTCCAGAGCTGCAACAAGAGCTGCTGTTTAGCTGTGAACACTTGCAGTGCACTTTGTACATGGGTAAATGCCTGCTGGACACAGCAGAAGCATGACCAGAACAGGTCCCTGATGAAGCATTCGAGCTGGTTACAACTCTTTGTGAATTCAACATTTAGCACTCAGAAATCTCCTCAGGCAGAGACAGGTAATCTTACCATGTCAAATATCTTGACATGACAGGATTACCCATCTGCAAAGGCAGATAATATATAATATTATATTATAAAGAATGGTTATTTCCATTTAAATACTAAAACAATCAGACACCAATGATTTGGGTTTTATGCAAACAGACAGGTAAGAACAAGACCACAAATAATGAAATACTGTCTGCAAAAATGGCAATAAAGCGACAAATGCAGGCAATTGTTACCTTGTTCAAAGCCTTGTGGACATTTTGCAATCCTGTGATTTTTATTACTGCAGTCTCACCAGAGTTGCAAGTTCAGCTGACTGTGAAGGTCTAGGCCCTGTAAAATCTTATTCATGTGCACACTGTAGGAAGCAGGGATAGTGAAGGCAGATCCTGTGCTGTTCCAAAGGTGCTACCTAAGACCTTGGGTGAGGAAATGCCCTCTTACAGATAGCTCACAACCCCTTGTCTGATTAAAAGTAAATTCTCAACAAACCTTGGGAAACAAGTTCAGAATACTAGCATATGCTCTAATCCATTTTCTCGCTATAAAGGCTTCTTTATTGCTGTTTTTGGCTGACAACACTTGAGATTGCATGTTTATCATCATTCTTAAAACACTTGAGAGAGAACAATGTGGGTGCATTTTTATTTCGGTTTTAACTTCTTTATTTCATTGCTGTACAGCTGCATTACACTTGGCTTGAATCCCTCAAGCATTATTTTCCTTGGCAAAACAGTCACTGAACTGAGTAGAACTTACTATTGGAAAAATATGCTTGAAAAACCAGTGTTATGTCAATGCCAACTGAAACCCATGGAGCTTAAAATGTCACAAATGTGCCTGTAGCTGAAATACAGAGCTCCTCATTTTTTATTTTTTTTTATTTTTTTTGTCTGAGCTAGGAATGTTGTAAGTCTTAGGTTGTGAAGTCAACTGTAAAAAATCATAGAGTAGCCTCCTGAAGCTGAATGTGTGCTGAAACTGAATGTGTGCTTCTCCCCCTCCATGAACAAACATTTAGAGAACAATTATATAAAACTGGATGTAGGATAATTCCATAGGAAACAAATGACTGCATGGCTCCGCTTCCAGTCTTGCCTGCACTAACTGTAGCTATCTATAAGAAGCTGGGCTACAGGCTTCTCAGAGAAAAGATAGAACCCGACTTTGTAAAACATCTTTAATATTCAAATATATAAATAAGCACTACTGAAGAATAATTCAGAAGACTGCGGTGATTCATTACGAACAGATGCTATAAACGGGAACAGTAACATTGCTAGGTAAGGAAGAAGCAAGCTATTTTAGGAGTCTTGAAAATCTCTTCTAGTTCTTCAGACAGATCATGCTGCTATAGTTATTTTATAAAAAATTATATTCTGAAAAGCACTTTAGTAAAAGAAACCTTTTACTGGAACTATTATTTAACCAAGACCTTCTACAGCACTAAAACACACTGCAATTGAGTTCCTGTTACAGTTTTAAGAATGGGAGGGGTGAAAATAAGAACAAAAAAACCCTACCATACCTGCACCAGGAGCTATTTATTAGCATAACACTCTTCCTTTTAAAGATTTTGTAACAACTGAAGTATATACAAAGTCTTACAGCATTTACACAATAAAAAAGTTTCCTATTAGCTGATGTAGTATAAGGTAGTGCTGCAATTTACTTCAAAGCGTGAATACAATAATAATGAAGCAGACCACTGTACTTTCAACTTCTCCACTACCACACCACCACTGTCAGTTGAAATGACAATTAATTAAATCACTGGGAAGACAGGTTGTTGAAAGATTTGTAACAGGTTGATCCGCAGCACTAACCATCTTAAGGAGGAAAAAAAAAAAAGAAAAGAAAAGCTACATACTGTCATGTTTCTACACTTTCCTAGAGCTGGAACAAACTTTCACAGCCTTAGATATAACATATGCAAGACAACATAATCACATTTTTTTCAGATATAGTTCAGCTACTGGGTGTATTTACTTCTGAATAGGAGGTGTTATATTGATATGGCTGTGTGTTTCCATTTTTGTTCATTAACTGTTCAAATAGGTCTACAAAAAAAAAAATTAAGACAGCATGGAGTTTGTAGTCATGATGTGTTTTGACTAATAAAGGCATTCAATATCAGCTATAGGATCTAATTATTCCTGTCAAAAGTTTAAGACCAGGAATCTTTGAGTAAATATCAAACCCACAAAATCCTGCACCTGTGCCATTTTCATCTGCTGACTCCAACCTTCTTTAAGCTTTTCCAACTGGTATAATACAAAATCATTAAAATGCTTGCACCAACCCAAATGCAAGACTCATTTAGTTTATGAGAGGTCAAGCAGATTCACTAGACTACTTCTGCTGTAAAACAGAGGGAGCTTACCTAGGAAAAAGAAACTTACTGAACAGTGCCTTACTACAAGTAGGGATATATATTTTAACAACGATACATAATTTAAGAACATAGCATTCTTCGCCTTTTAGAAACAGCTTTTGTGTGCCAATAATGCACTTTCTACAAGAGATAAGGCTGCTTTGCCTATCGTCATATGCCTAAACCTCATATTTTGGCCAATTCCACTTTTCCTCCCCCCAAAGGGATTCTCTTTCAACTTAGAAACGAGTAATGTCAGTTGACAACATCTGTATTAAGACAAAAAGTGACATATATAAAATCCACAAGGAACCACATAAATACCAAAGAAGTCATATAACCTTTCCATGTAAACACTTTGATTATACTGAAGCCCTAATCAGATTCTTGTCTTAAACTTTTGGCAGATAATGTGTATGCTCAGCCAGGCTTTGTAGTTAGTTATTGTTCAAGTGGAAGCCAGGTCAGCTCACATGTTGACAGGCATGCAACTTGGAAACATTGCACAACAAGCAACACAAAGAGATTTGAGAAGGGTACAAGACTTCAAGTAGACTTCACAACCCTTCACAAACTGAATATTCACAGACAAAGATACAGTCCTTGTTTTTTTGTTTTTTTTTATGGTGGATTTCTCTCTCACACATGGGACACTTTCTGTGACTCTCTAGCTTGCTTGATGCTATATAACCACTTGATGATTCTGGCATTCCTTTCAATGGCAGAAATGCCATATGGCACACGGTCATTGGCACTGTCATCATTTCTAAGGTCACTGTTGCTGTCCTGAGACTGTTCACAGTCTGAGCTAATCATGCTTGCACTGCGAAAGTTGAGGGATATAATATCAGAATTAGCCCTTGCAAAGTTTTCCATCCCAAGGTTTTCAAGCTCTTCAGGATCCAGTCCGCAGTAGTTAAAGAACCGTTCAACATCTGCGTCAACGCGAAAGTATCTGTCGCTTAAGTCTGATTTTGATCGCTGTAGGGAGGGTCTTCTACTAACTCCGCATCCAGACTCGACTGCCTCAATCTCTGGGGATTTCAGGGTGGCAATGGCAGCGATTTTGGGCTTTGGAGGCAGAGGTGGGGCTGAACTACTGCAGGGTATTGCTTTTAAGGGCTTTGCACTAGTTACTTTCCTAATGTCTGAAGAGCTGTGAGAGACATGCAAGAAAGTCTCTGCTGACTGATCTAGGAGCCTTCTGCTGACATTGGAGCTGCTCTCCTGTGGGCTGCTCCGGCCCTGCGTGGGGTAAACCTTCAAGGATTCCGCAAACGAGTGTCGGTTCAGCTCTGTCGAGTCGGCCCTGTGGGGTGGCCAATTTCGGGGACCGTGCTTATGCCCTGAACCCGAGCTGGAGCCTTCAGAGCTGTTGATGATGTTCTTCAAAATCTCAAGTTTCAGATTTTCTCTCTGGACTCCACTCTCAGTCTTTGCATTGTTGCTGAAGACTTTCAAGGTGGGGCTCCCCAGCGCTCGCTTGGCTGCAGGACAGACCGGTGGCTTCGCCAGCACTGCCGGCTTCACAGGCTCCTGCTTGGCATTGATGACCTCCTGGCTCTTGACGTATTTTGCCTTGTCGGCTTCGAGCCTCTCCACCGCACTCAGTCTTTTTGGATTAGGCTCCGCCTGCCTGCGAAAATAGTCAGGTCCTTTGTTCAGGATGCGGAGAGGAACGGCAGATGTGAAAGTCACGGCAGGGCTGACCGGCTTCACCATGCTACCTGTCGGTAATGTTTCTGTAGGCATGTTTGGTGGTCTTTCCCCCGCAGCCGTTTTGGATTCTTCTCTGGGATCTCCTAAATGCACGGTGCAGAAACATGTACATTAAGCACAACGAATAGCCGATGAATCCTGGGATCTGAGCGTTAGCAGCAGTGCCTCATCTCACAGCTCATTAAATAGCACTGCGTTCCTCTTTTAAAGGCAGCCTTTGTAGTGCAAGGGCACCCGACACAAGTCCGTATTAGTCTGCTCCGCTGGCTCCTTTCTTCTCGCTGAAAGATGCGGGAGTCTCGCCGTCCCCTCTGCGCTCCACGAGCGGCAGCGATCTGAAAGGCAGAATAACCAACCACACGTTAGCGGGAGCGCCTGACATCAGAGCGATAGCAACAGCCGCCTCCCGGCCCTCCTCTGCCACCGCCGCCCGGGATGCTGCCGCCGCTGGCACAGCAGCCCCGCTCTTGGCCCAGCACCCCTCTGCATCTCACAAGACATGTGTTGTTTGATATTTACACTCTGAGCTTGGATTTAACATAATCACATTGGGGGGGGAAAAAAAAAGAATAAAAAAAAAATAAGCCCCACCACAATACAGCCATACATTTCTAGAGGGAGAAAGGGAAGCAGAAAGAGACAATTCATAGACTTTTACCCACCCATCTCCCAGAAAAAAAGTACTTATACTTAATATATTTGGCTTAGTTAAGTTGATTTGTGAACACGTTTTATCTCTAGCCCCCAAACATTTTTCTCGTTACAGGCAACATAATAAATCTCAACAATCAAGTGCATTTTCCTTGCTCATTAAATCGTCCAGAAAACAATCTGGTCTAAAAAGAAGAGAGCAAATAGAGACGTATAGACTTTTAAGTGCAATGCACATCTTTCATTGCTATTCCAATATAGAATCAACAAATAAAAACAAGAGATGTCACTAAATCCACCATTTCCAGTTCCTAGTTTGTTTCCACATTAGTGTCCATAGCACTGGTGCTCCAGCAATAAAAGAAGGTTTTCCAAGCTCTTATGATCACCATATAGGCTTAACAGAACAACAGAAAATGACTTTGTTTTTTTATGTAAGACTTTGGGAAATCTTCAAAACCTTCAAAACCTGCATGGCTGGGTTTGAAAATGAAGAACCCATCTTCGACATGTAGATACAATCATTCAAGTTTTCCATCAAGCAGTAAGTACAAACAAAATTTATGTTAATCTAAATTATTTTAAGGTTTTATCACTGAGATTGTCACAACAGTCTAAAATCCAACACCATGGATGATATTACAAGTGCTGAAACAATTTTTCCTACACGAGGCACTGAAGGGCACTTATCACGGAATCTACTTTTCAAGCAGTGATTTCGCTAATGGGTCTCATTTGTTTTATTACTGCCCCATTAATCTATGCTGCCCTCTTTAATATCCAATTTCTATTATCACTGTGATCTTCAGGGAGAGAAAGAAAAGCAGCTGCTACATCTTCACTCTATCCTAAAGCATACAGAGCAGCATCCTTCCCTGGGATGACTTGCTTTCATGTTGCTGTCATCCTGGGTGTTCTCATCCATCAATACCCAACTAACTAATACAGGGTTTACATTGTTTTGGCAAAAACCAACAAATCCAAAAAACAACAACAAAAAAACCATCCCAAAAACAAACAAAAAACACCCCCCCAAAAAATAAGAAATTCCAGCTGAAGTTACACTAACAGCAAAAACAAACAAAAAAACCCCCTCAACTACTGATGCCCAGAGATATGTGATATATACATTAAATATTTTCTTCATATTATCCAAGGTCAAAGCAAGCAAATGAAATATACAAACGCTATAATGAGATTATAGGAAAAAGCTGAGCTTTCTCCTGAAGGCTCACTGTCACAAGCATTCTTCAAATACAAACTAACATAGTTAGGTGGGTGATAAACCAGACACATATTCAGTGCAACTGAAAGGGTAGGGAAAGGTTAATTAAGCTTCTCTTTCAATGTTGTTTTATAAATCCTAGTGCTAACTCTTCAGCAGTTTGACTTCCTGAATTTAAACTAAGTCTCTCTGAAAGAGAAAAAGCTTTCCTCATTTGAATCAACATATTTATTGGTACTGTTTTGAAATTAAGTATGAAACTTCCAAATGCACAGAAGGCAATTCCAACATGCATCTGCGCACACATTCCTCTTCCATACACACAAAGCAAATCTTTCCACATTGCCAGCTCAGAGCTGGATGGCTAAGTGCCTGTATAAATATCCCATTGATGTGTATATTTAATACTTGTGTGCAGAAATCAAGTCTGTGTGAGAGCAGGGGTTTTGTCAAGAGGGAGAAAACCCCACAAACAACTGAGCTCTTTGTACTTAACACTGTCACCCAACTGAGTTAATACCACTTGAGTAAGCAAGACGACTTTCCTCCTTGACCACTATCATTAAAGGTGACCATGGTCCTGCCCCTGAGGACAGCTGCCAAGTCCAATCTCCTGGTGAGTGGCCCCACACACCACTACAGATCAGAGCTACGGGAACTGAGGCCTCCAGCTCCAGGCTGCTTTTGGAAGTATTTTCCCAGCATTTAACGACTTCCTCACTTTGGATAGTAGGCTGACCATCCACATTGGCTTCAACACCACACTTAAAAGGAAGAAAAAAAGAAAAAGGAATCCCATGAGGCATGTGTGTTTATCTGAGGGAACGAATGTGCTTGTTTGCAAGCAAGTATGGAGCCAAGTGTCCTAGAGACAATGGAGATATGCTGCAACTGGCAACGTGCTTCAGGCATGTCTAGAAAGAAAAGCGAGGACCTGGTGAGGAGCCAGGACAGAAGTGTCCACCTGAGCCAGCACAGGGAGCCTGGGGAGGTAACAGCCAGGTGGTTACGTGGCCAGCTATGGAGGCTTTGGTACCTGTGGGGCTGCTGCTATAAATTAAGGAACATGCAGCTATGAAAAGGGATCAACTTTTTGTGTATTGTTTCAATTTCCCCATTTCACTGACACGCTGTATTTGAATATTACCAGAAAGCTTATTCAGTATTGTCATCTCAGAGAGATAAAAATTACTGACCAGATACAGTTAAACAAGAAAATGTGATGCAAGAGAGGTGGATGAATGTAAAAATCTAATGAAACTTCTGCCTGTGCTGGTGATGGCTGCAGCCTGATCCGACTGCTAACTGGGAAAGCAAGTTCAATTCCTACCAGCCTCTCTTCTGTCTGTGGGCACCTGAAACACCACAGTGACAGAGCCTTGCTACTTACTAATTTTAGAGTTAATTACAGAGGCTGAGGGCAGCAGTACAATGCAGTCTCAGGAAGACTTAAGATTCTAGTTGTGAAAATCATCGTTGCAGCAACCAGGGCATAGAAATGGCTTTTTTTTTCTGGCTTAAACTCCAAAGAAACTCACTGCTTAGGCATCTGAATTCCCTGTTGGGTACATTTCTGGTTCCAGCAACAGCCTGCAGAAATTCAAAGGCAAATAGGTTTTCTTTACCCACTCCCAGAAAATGTGTGAAATATACCAAGGGACCCAAGAAATGTTCCTTTCTCTCTGTTTACATCCAGAGGTCTGCTCTATAGGTATAATCCTTCCATGGACTGAACCGTGTTTTTCAGTGTTTACTCTGTATTTCCATTATTGCTCTTCCTTACAAAACTACTAGACTTAAGAAACTATTTCAAGAAAAAAACTTTTGCATGCATTCAAACATTTAATACCACACATACACTAATAAAACCTTTCTGAAAGGTCTTACTGAGGTCCTCTAATACCCCACAACTATTGCAGGGTAGAATACAAAATGCACAAAATTTTGGGTTTTCAAAGCTGCATTTTCAGCCAGACACTTCAATTCAGGATTCCTTTGTGGCAGAAACAGAGATTCAAAGCACTTAATTCATTCCAGGCATCACATTAATCACTCCTGAGTCCATAATATGTTTGTCAGATATTCATATTTAAATAACCAATGCACTGTCTGCATGATTTAGGGGTACACAACACAGCCTAGAGCAGCAATAGCTATACAGCTAACATTAACTACAAATAAATCCCCTATAAAATATTCTTTCCTTAATTTAAAGCCAAGGCAGTAGGAGGAGATAAACTATGCAGAAACTTTGGAATCCCAGGTCCTTATATTCCAAATATGCAGTTTCTTGAAATGTATGATAAATTTATGAACAGACCCCATTCTGGCAAGTACTTATTTCTAGCACTATTATGAATACAACAGTATTGTACAAAAATAGAGTTAATTTTTTCCTCTCATACCTAAAACTGCATTCTAAACACAGACTGAATGATGTCAACTGACAGTAAATAACATGCTTCCCTCCTCAGTTCTGTGCTGCCCTGTAGCTCCCACGCATTGGCCACGTTTCAGCCAGTCTTGTCTAAAAGAATCCACATTTTATATATGTAAAATACTTATATATTTTAACAATATTCAAGTTACAGAAAAAGCAGCAAAAAGCCATGTGAAAATGTGGTCCAAATGAAATGAGTGAAATTTCTGTCCTTGACTTTGGTGAGGACATTGCTTCACCTGACAAAGTTAAAACGAAGCTCATTCCCTTAATTCATCCCTCTGGGACAGATGAAGGGATTGCACAGAAGGGAGGATGATGTACAGTGGATAAATATAATGAAGTTTGACAGCCTTTACTCTGCTTTCCTTGATATTTAAAGGCCTGTGTCAATATTATTTTCCAGGTGATAAAATATAACTACCACTACCTCAAGATGCACCATAAACATGACATACATTCCAGTAGAAGTAATCAAGAAGTGGCTGCAATGTGGCTCAAAGAGATCGCAAAACAAAACCTGCACAGGAACACAGGACACAGATGGAAAATGTCAGGTTCCTCTAACACCTGGGTACAGTTCAGAGCTGCAGGTCCCATTATGAAGCTGCTGTTTTTTTTAACAGTCACTGTAAAGCCTACAAATGAGAGCTTCCCTGAGAATGATGGGCTACAGGTCTATGTGCTAAGTTATACTAATATGTATGCCTAAAACTGATACAAGTTATTCTGTCAGAATAATTGTCATTGTAAACCTCACATATATATGCTAATAAGTGTAAAAATACAGGCAAAGCCTAAGTAAACTTGGCTGAAATTGACAAAAGGTCATCCATATCCAGAATGGCAGCAGTATTTCATTTTTAAAACCAATTTTAGATAAAAATGTGTATGCTGTGTAGTCTTGGTCTCACCTAATATTAACTGTCAAGATAAAGCGTGAGGAGATGAAACAGTCTTCCAGATCTACCATGACTCAAAATACTAATGAAAGTGCCTATTTTCAACTCTGTTCCTCC